ATAGCATACAATAGCATAACGATAATAATAATAATAATACACGTTATAGCTGGTCAATTTCTGGAAAGTAAAAATAAAACCCGATATACATATATATTTATATACATATATATACTTTGAAAGTAAATCAATTGAGACTTAATGTTGATAGTGAATAACTAGTCAGCCAAATAATTTTCATAAAACAGAGAAAAAAAATTTAGAAGAAACGAAGACTATCAATCAGCATCAGCAGTAACAATGTGTGTTTATTTATTTGAATGCCAAGTATAGCTTCATTCATAAAAAAAATACTTCACCAATTTTTAACATTCTCACAAAATAGTGAATATGGTTAGTACATAAAAGCTACAATCTAATATAACATGATATATATACTATTAAATGTTGTTACTTTTAATACAGTCGCATGGGATTCACTTGGTAATAAAAACGCTTGTATGGTTTGTAATAAAAATCACTAGGTATTGAACGATTCTACGAGATCAAGTTGAGATTTTTATAATACTTGGACATTTATTGTATTTTACTAAGAAGAAAGTCACTTCATTATTTAGGATAATTGTTCACAAGGTGATATAAAGCTGTACTATTTCAAATCTAGTGGACCTAACTGGTGTTTGCTTCATACCAATAAAATGATAACTAACCGTCTCACGTAGTTATATATATATATTATATGAATAAACCGGGTTATCTCATTAATAGTCATCTGCTTATTTCAGAGACTGACGCACATATATCTTAGTCCATAACAACACTGTCAAGCATCACAAAAAGGAAGAAAGTATCAAAATATTACATTAATTGAAACCTCAGTAAAGATAACATTATTTATTTAGTTTATAATAAATAAAGACTGTGCAATTTCCATTGAGTCATAAATTTTCATTATAATCAAAAGTATGTTATTCCTATTCTCAAACTTAAAACTTAATCCAAATTACATAAAGAGCATTTTTAATGATACAAATGATTTGGACAACTTTTTTTTCAACGGTGAGTTTTATTTCTTGACAACACGACATAACGCAGTCAGAACGTTCTATCATTTCAGTAGACAAATCACTGTTCATTCGGTAAATTAGTATCCTAATAGCCATCATCGAATTTATCAATTCAAAAACTGATACTGTGAAATGACGATAGCACTTCACTGGCTTGTTTGCAATGTATTCTACTTGTCTGGATACCATGGAAATTGATTTTACTTATATTATTGTACATTTCATTAAATAAAGAGTAAGCATAATGTTTTGATAAAATATCTACTGAAATCCGGCAATTACATTTTTTTCTCTAAAAATTATTAGTTTTACCAACAGTTCAGACCTGAGTTCACAGTTTAAAAAACTACCAATGATGTAACAGAGCCAAAAACAATGTCAGATGAAAGACCACTTACTAAGTTAGGTATTTCTATTATAAAAAAATTGTACTGATGGACGAATTAAATACTTTTGTCTTATGAAACAGTCTTACATGATACTGTGAGCACTATATGTTTTAACCTTGTGGTAGGAGTTTTCAGGTGACTCCAAGGTCAACGTCAATCGTGAAGCGATAGTGTAAACTGTTAACTGAACTTCTGATTTCTTTGCCAGTATATGTCATTCACGTACACTGCAATTTTTTTTAGAATATTCGTATTTTCTATTATATATTGCAAAACTGATTGACGATACTTTTAATATGATTAGTCTAGTAAGAATCGTATTATTACACGAAATCAATTTGTTTCAACACACAGAGACCTTTCTAAATTATGACCATTTGTAATGTCAGGAAAGCTAACAATGAATCTATGCATTGAGAAACTAGTTAAATTTTAAAAAAATGATATCAATATTAGTTTTAGTCATCAAAAAATACACCAACTAACTGACGTCAGCTTGACAAAAACGAAAAAAAAATTAGTGCATCAGCTTGCGACCGAAATCAATAAATTCTACGTGATACTTTTATTGAAAGCAAACTATTTATCTAATGTTTCTGGTCCAATGGATACGATTAACAACAAATTTGTTGTATTACCATGAATATTTGTAATCAGCTTATAAATCATCAGCATTGTTTCATGATGTGGCTGTATTTGAGTGCTATATTGACTCAAACAGCTTTAGCAATTTATTGAACAGAAATTGTGCATGCTTCATTGACTTGAGCGTAATACAGTACTAGTTAATAGAATGTTAATGGAAGCTGTGACCAGTGGAATTCAGCTTTATAGGAAGTCTTAAAACAGATCCATCACAGAATGTAACATGGGTAGTCACAGATGCACTTGCTTGGTTTAGTTTAAAAAGATTCAGTCGCCTCCAAGCTAGGTCTCGGTAAACTGATATAAATTAGTTCTAGAATTACTGTAGTTAGCCAAGTATCACTTTAGATTTCATGAACCGTAGCTGGTTTAACAATATACTAAACTATGAGTGTAAATGGCTTGTTCGCTGAGATAAGCATACGATCACTGAGAGAATTACTTAGTTTATTCAAAATTGTGTTATTCAGACAAACGAAATATATCACTTGGCAAAAGGATTTTGTAAATAATAACTTAAATAATTCCACTGACATTATGTCAAGCTACTTGTTAAATTATTCGTAAACATTCTGTTACATGTCAAACAACCAGCGCTATATTCAAATATAGACTATACAACTTAATGCCGATTAAGAACAGTAGTGAGTAAAACAGTTTAGCTTGAAATAATGAGGTCTAAGCAGAATTATAACTAAACTTTCATGTCAACATCTTTTTTTACAATAAATTCAATAGATCGTGAATTAAGATAGAAATTTCCAAAACCGACAACTTTATTGTTTAGCGAATCAGGTTATTCCACACATACATAACAGTCAACTATAAAGAAAAGTTGATTCCTGACAACTTTCAGTGTTTTTTCTGTAATACTTTTGACTACATAGACAGATTTAAATTATCATCTGATCTATGCAATGTGTTAAAAGTCAATGAAAATACTATAAATAATGGGGATTTATAGTTAGCACCAAATGTACATTATTTTAAAGCGTCTTTAACTGAGTATCAATAATTCCGTGATTGATAAAAACAAAGGAAATTTGTGTTAACTAATTTTTCCCACCCCCAGATATGTAGTTGATTCATTGCGATAGTCAGCACAATGTAATAAAAGATTCATATTTGGGCCATCAGAAAGATGAAAAAGTACACAAATAATAAATCGATACAATGAAGACACCAGTTAATCGATGATCATGAATAAACAGTGACGAGCTTCCGTTCAGACAATAAATAACTCAAAAGTAGTTTATTTTTGTAATTATGTTTTCTGATTTTCATTTTCAATTTTTTTTATCAACCAATTTCTATAGAATGAAACAAAAAGTCTACAGATTGTAGACGTCAAATTTTCTCATTCAATATTCATAGTTTGTGTATTCACTTTTGTATTGTCCAACAAATAGGGTAACTGGAATTGAGATAGGAATTGATTGTGTGCTTGTTTTTTAAAGGTACACATTTACAGTGATGGTGCTAAGTGCAATATTGTAGTGTTATGTTAACGAAATAAAGATAAAAATTAATTCCTTAGCGCCTCATTCTCTTGACGAACATACAGTTGAAATGATTTGTTTGTGGCGGATAGAAGTTTTTGCCGATAGATAGAAGTTTGTGCTGATGATGCTGTTCAGAAGAACAATGAAAGTGCCACAACTAAAACATCTAGCTCAGAGAACGAAGCACCACCACAATCATCCACCTGAGTTAGAAATTTTCTCCACCTTCTCAAAATCAAATGAGCGTGCAGTGGTTTGTGTTCGTTGGACAGATAATGAGAGAAGTTCCAATATAAGCAAAATTTACTGTTATGACCTGAATCCCATATAATATTCATCGTTTTAGAAGACCTCATTATGAAATAATTAGTGTCTTCCTTATATTAATGCTCAATATTTTCATCAAGGCTACTAAATATGTTTTCTATTCACTGTAGCACTTATCATGAAATAAGGTGACCAAAGTGAAATTCAATTAATATACCTCAGACAGTTGAACAAACAACCAATGTAATTATGTATACCAGTTCAAATATGAATCTGATTCAAGTGCTTGTTGTAAGTTTCTACTGTAAATATTATTGCCAACTCCCCGCATTAAAACTTGGATTTTTGTTTAAGTTGTTAGATCAAACTTTGTAAAACAATAATGTTCATAAAATAATTTTAAAAAATATTAACATTCATATATGCTGATTTTCTTTATGGAATTGTAAAGATACTGCTTGCTTCAAGCATTTACGAGAAAATATAAGGAGTTAAGTATATCACTTACATTACTTTACAAATGTTATTATCCAGCAATTTCAAATCAACTTGAAAACACCTTATCGTGGTAAAAATGCTCAACCAGAACTAAACCTTTTGATCAACATAAAGGAAAAGTAACCTCAGATTGTCTAAAAGGTGTATCTACAATTCCAGGCAAAGATATTCAACTGAAGAAACTAATCACTGAGAGTTTCAGTTCGCTAAGCTATATATCACTTGTTTTACTGCTAACTAACTAGTCAATAATTCTTACGAACTTACCAACCCATCTAAACATAAATATGCATTACTGTAAGAAATAGGTGCTATATCAAGTATTCTGGTCATCCATCAATCCATCCATTATAATATTATGAGTTATTATTGTGAAATCCCTCTTTTCAACTGCACTGTCGACGAATATCAGTTTTCCATTTAGAATTGAAATCACCAAAACAACTATTGAAACGTTAGACAGAACTGGATGTAAGCGAATGAAATATTGTCAGAATCGATCCTGTAAAACACAATTGTTCGACCAAATTGACTATTGCAAAAATCCATATCTCATTATGAACAAATAAGTATGTAAATATTTTACAAAACATCAGGAATTAGTTTATGCTGAAATATAAGCCATAATTTTGCACCAAAAATGTTTTTAGAACAGAGTAAATATTCGAAATTAAATAATTGCAATCACTCACATGTAGTATGGTGAAATTCTCCAAAACAGAATTCATTAATTCTCGTTGAGGCAATTGTAACAGTTTACCAATGAATTTTTTCATATAATCACACATAGGACTACGTAAAAACCGATATACAAAACGTCCATTTTCCGGTCTAGGTTGTTCATCCTTGATTTTGCAGCAGGAACAATAAAATATTGAATAATAAAATGAAACAGTGTATGAGTGTTTTCAATCATGGATGATACTGCCTTGTTAATGTTGATATTTATTATGTATTCCAGCATGAACTGATTAAATAACAAACCAAATAATGAATTTAAACATAACAATGTATAGCTTTTCGTAGCCTAAAATCTTTTAGAGATTCAACGTACGTTACAGTACTAAAGAATGATTTCAAAAAATATAACTAAGGCGTATCACTGCCATAAAAACAATAGCAAAATGCATGAACTGAGTCAATGTCATTCACTGCGCAACAAATCCGTGATGAATTTATTTTTAAAGCATGAGTTATTATTGATGCTTGAGACGATTCGAAGTGTGCAAAATCATACTGGGATAAATGTTTTTTTTTTCTAAATGTTTAACTCATTCAACTACAAGACTTTATCTGATTTGAATAAGTTCTCCCACAGAATGACTTTAAATTTTGATGATTGTGTTCACAATATATGGTGTGAAAATCATCCGTTTTTTGCTTCGATCATTTTACAGCTATTGACAATAATGTCTACACCTTCCCGACTGACAATGTCTTAATGATCGCTTGCACACTAGTCAGATTGTATTCGATGTTTGTTCCTTCTCTTAAAAAAAAAACACATGCACCGAATCATCGTGTAAAACTACAAATTTATTTCGAGTATGCGAACACTAACCTTACACTGGAATCGATTACAAAATTCAACATACTCACGACAGAATGCCAAGACAACTTTTATTATCATCATGCTTAGAGTGTGTTTAATGATTAACACATTTCTGGTTTGTTGTTTTATTTTTTCCAGACGATGCCTTAAATGAATTCATACTCATTCATACTTATCTCACACTGAGTTAAAAGTAAACAGACAGAAAAACATTCAATTTAAAATATGTCAACAATCTGTGCACTAGTTAAATGATAGAAGCAATGAGCCGGCATAAATGTTTACTTGTATTAGTTAATTATATACATATGCACAATTGGTAAGACTAGCAACTTTTTAATCATTGCTATAATTGTGCACTTAGAAAGAGAGAGTGAGGTTTTTTTCGGTTTTTCACTGAGAATATTCATAAAAATAAAATAATATGATGTGAAAATAATTTAAATAGTTATTCTTCAAATTAATCATTTAAGTAATCCATCACACTTGATAGTTATTAATTTCTCGGAGTAAAAGAAAAATGCCAACAATGAGAATAGACAAAATGAAGTTGCATTGTTTTTCCTTCTTTTTTCTGTTAAACATTAAATAATTTACAAAATTGATAAGCTTAATACATTTTGTCTAACCATTTCATCAATCAATTGTTTCCAGTAGTAGTGACAGGTTAACTCTATTAGAAATTATAATAAACTTTACAATATTATATATGAACACATATTGAAATGGTGCTTTGCATTACCTCGATTTTTTCTAATACTTCTTTACCGAATGAACAAACTTTAGTTGATAAATTAATTGGAACATCTTCGGTACCTTCGAAACTAAAAAAAAAGAGAAGAGGAAACAAATAGACTGATGTCAATTATCAAAAGTTTGTACATTGTCAATCGATTCAATTGAACAGGAATATTAGTTTTTCATGTTGTTCAATGCTAATTTTTCCGTAACCGTTAGAAACTGACCGTAAAGACAATATCTCCTTGTTGAAGAGACTTAGTAAACAATGCGAATTCAATGATCATGCTTCTAAATGACTGACTGAATCACTTAATACAAACTAAAAGCATTTTAGACATTAGTATTTATTTTTTGAATAGTCTAACCAGAGATGCAGCTTCAATTTTCTTTGTGAGACAAATATGTGAAATATTTTTTTGTCGAGTTAGTTTTAGTAGGATTTATTTTTATGTGTTTTATCGAATTCGAATAACAGTCATTGCATGTTCACTTTCGAATACCAGTAAAATTAAGTAAACTTTTCATGATAAATTAATATGAATCACTAAAAACTGTTCAATGATAGTCATCACTAATCAGTCAGCGTAATCAGTAAAATATTCAGTGTATCAAGTCAGTTACTTCCATTCAGTCAGTTACAAAATAGAATTTCGTACGTAAGTACATCAGATCAAGTTGCAATACCATATCAGCACAGAGATATAATTAATTGTCAACTCACATCCCATAGTAGTAGAGGTAGTAAGAGTATTAGAAATAATTGGAGAGATCAGGGTTTGAAGATGTTACTCAAGAAGTTTAATTCACTGAAGTAAATTTAGAAAGAGAAAGATAGAGGTGATGAAGAATTTAGAAGGTTAGAATTTCATAAAACACAAAGAATGAATGCACCTGCGCTATTGCAAACGATTTTGAGCCATATCACTCAGGGTCTCTAACCATCGATTATTATCATCTCGCAGGCCCAAACCAGGTTGTCGACACATACCAACATGACTCAGTCCACTTGTCAGTGACTTCATGGATCTGTGCCATGTTTTGGTTTGGAGCCCCTAGCTTTCGTCCAAGCTATTCCTGTATCGCAAAATATAGCTCGACGTGGCATTTGGTGGTTAGGCATACGTAACACATGTCCCAACCACCTAAACTGATGCAATTTCATTACTTCATCTATTGATCTGCCATTCTTACCTAGCACCCGTTTCCTAATAACAGCGTTGCTTACTCGGTTGTCTCATGTTACTTGAACAATGCTCCGGATACGCTTATGATCGAAAACCAGTAACCCAAGAATGTCCTCTACTCTCAATGGCCATGTTTCGCAGCCATAAAGTAGGATGGAGCAAACTACTGCGCAGTATGAAAAATAGAATTCTCTGTTTCTATTTTCATGGAAACATCAAACAATCTTGAACAGTTTGAACAAGCTTAACCATCACAATGAAGAGATTAAATTATCACGAAATTTATTTGCATGTATATGATGTTATGCATAAGCTTCTACATAGATAAAATGTAATTTTTATGCATAAATGCACTGTCACAAGTTAAATTTTGCTTCCACAAGGAATTAGATGAACTTTCTAATATACATAGACTATGTTCTCAAACAGGTTAGATCATCAGTTTAAAACAATGGCAAATGATTAACAGACTTCTGAAAACAGTGATATGATGAGAAAATAAAAACTCACATAGCTGACACAGCGAATGTGGCATTCGGTTCAACCATTACATTGACATCAGCCTATATCCAGTAATCATGAGGACGATATCAAAAGAAGAAAAGAGAAATTACACATACAATATGAAATGCTTAGATGTAATAATAACATTAAAGGAAAAGTAATAAGTAAGATGGTGCATATTGTACGACGACATCATGTAAACATATACAACAACAACAACAACAACAGTAACGATTGTGATGTATGAATAATCCGATTGTATACAAAAATTATTGATCGATGAGCAAATCATGGATTCTTTTTGGCCTTCGTGACCATAAAAAGTGTATTACATGCATCAACTGTACACGAACAAGAAATACTAATATTTTTATTTGTTAGATCTCTAAACAACATGGACAGATTACAGTAAATCAAGGTAATTAAGCTAATCAGTGCTTTGGTACCAACAACAACAACAACAACAACATTAACAACAGCAACAACACCAACAAAGGTATCAACTAATGTCTTAAACATTGTACAACACAACACATACTTCAACATATTGTGGAAATGAGTAAATCCTATAAACAGGTTCAATCAATAAATTATCATCAATCGAAACGACTACTATTGTAGGTAGCATCATATTGGTAAATATGACTAGGTAAAACACACTGTGATGAGGACACATTGACAATACTAATTTATGATAACAACATAAAACAAAGTATAATCAAGTATTACATGTTTTGTCAACATATATATGTGTGTGTTATGTTGATTGGCAAATCCTATCATAAATCATCACCTTTGAAAAAAGATAAACAATAAACACAATGTGTTAGTATTAGTTACATTCATTCATATTGTTTGTTGTTGTTGTTGTTGTTTGTGTTTTTCACTGTCTTAGTGAAAATGATTACAGGAGATGTTGAAATTCCAGTGAAATAATAGACAACAAAAATTTCTAGTCTGAAAGAGATTATGCTTGTATAAAAATGTAAACAACATTTACAAATACCATTGTGATGGTGTAAACAAAATTACTTTTTAGTCAAGTATGAAAATGCATTTATTGATATATATATATATATATATATATATATATATATATATATATATATATATATATCGCTAAATGTATGAAACTTTTAAGTATTTGATTGCCTGAAAATGTATGTGGAGTCTAGTGACTTTTCCTTTCCTCCAAGTCTTTTAATTACTGTTAGACGAACACTGCAAATGAAGATAAAAAATAAAGTCTGCATACATTAATTCGTGATTTTTCCTTCTTATATACTTTATTCTGAGTTGTATCCAACTATGCAGAATATGAGCTAATTTTCATCTTATTCGTGTACTATTAGAATACTCCATAGATGGTTTCTTTGACGAAGAAGTAGGTATTATCGCTTTCGCTGTTCAAGGCTTAAATGGTCAGTATCTGTTTTCAAATGGACTATGAAGATAGTTGTTACCGCTTAACCTGAATTCGCGTGTAAATTTTGGTTCCATTACTGCAAAACAATGTAAACTAGACTGAAAATAAATAAATCTGCTCAAAGGACTGGTCACAAATACTTCATCAGTAAGCCACTTTTGAGCCCTGTCCAACATTAATCAACTTAAATCTAGGGTTTTCAAAATCCCTGTCTTGTATACTGATTGATATGCATTATTGATTACTTTCTATTTCAAGTATCCATCTCACTGTGTGTTTTTAATTTTTGTACTATGATTAAACTGATGTAAATCGCATTTCATTTTATCTCAGTTACAATTTTACATTTCACCATTGTTTGTCTTAGTTAAGTAAGGTGTGTTCATTGTAGTCATCAACAAAAGCGTTTTACACTAAACAAAATGATCAAGCAATTGTAAATGTACCAATGTTTGTTTGTTTGTTTTTTTCAAAAATAGTCATTAGCACTAATTTTGTTTACTAATGTTCAACAGTCAAAATAAAGCGACTGTTAGCAAAACTATGAAAACTGCAGTAACTCGAAGTAACAACAACAGAAAAAACAAAATAATTTTAAACTATTATAAGTTTATCATGATTTTAGGGCGTTTTACATAAGTAAACAAGCGAAAAATTCAAAACCGAAAAAAAAAATTAAATTGAAAATTCCTTTTGTGTAGTAAATAAAAAAAAGTTCAACCTGAAACTAACTACTCGTATATTATTCATTTTCTTAGTGCTAAGGCAAATTATATCGGGCAATAATCTATTTCAAATAGTTTGTCATAAAATATTCTTAGAAATTCGCTTAGATTTGACAAGTTATTCGAATGATCACCGATTCTGCTGGAAATCTCACAATAAAAGTTGATTTTGGGGCAGAGTTTTGGAGGTTTTGTGATTTTACACATTTGAAATCATCAATCAAACATTGTTAGACCACCATTAGAAACCTGGAAGCACTGGACGGCCGTTTCGGCCTAGTTGAGAAGACGTGACCAGTGGAGTCCAACCCTGTCGATTGTAGGCAGTAACTACCAAAGACAAATGGGTGAGGTCGCGCAAAAAACCCTAGATCAATCAGAGTTAGACATGAACTCCGTTGGATGCCGGCACAGTGGTCCGATGCTTAGGCGTTCGCGCACAATACCGAAGGTCCCGGGTCCGAATCCTGCGAGGTGCAGGAGTCGTAGATGCGCACTGCTGATGAGTCACATACCAGGATGAAACGGCCGTCCAATGCTTCCAGTTTTCTAATGGTGGTCTAACAATGATTGATTGATGATTTCAAATGTATGAAAGTTGATTGTTCCACACTTTGAAGTGAGTCAAATTAGCTACACTTCCTTCTAAAGCGCTAAATCGCACTCAGCCGAAAACTCCATCCCGAAGTTTCTATCAATAACTTTGATACTATCTGTAATGCTTAATCACCTACTGAGTATTATTAAAAGTAATTAAATTCCAAATTCTCATCTCGATTGTTTTTTTTTAATTAATTCACTTTTCTTGTATTTTTTTTCTTTTTTAGAAATATTTTTTTCATCAGTTAAGTTCTCTTCTACTATCATACAGAATGTTTTGTATATTTGTCTAGATTATACTCTCGAATAAACCATCATGTATAGATATATACATGTATATTATAGAAAACATTAAAATAATCAGTAGCACACAGCGTGAAAAAAAAGAAGTAGAAGATTTTTCTTTAAATTTCTTTATGTTGATCATGGCTTGTTTGCATTTTAAAAAAAAAATAATGATAAAAAAAATTTTTTTTCCATATAAATGAAATGGAAGTAGAATATTCGGAAGTTCAGATTATGCATTATACTTTTGCACTTGATCAACATTTCTATCCATCTAGCTAGTTTGAAATAGAAGCAGAAGCATAAATGAATTTTCATGCTTCATTTCTCATTGATTTTGTGTATTTTATTAGGCAGTAGTTACCTAATTGATTAAGTTGTTTATTTCAAATAAAATGATTGTTAAACAATAACATTTGAATAGTATAACTATAAAATAGTTCAGAAAGTATTTTTTTTTAGAACTATGGCAGTCGCTATTACGATTTACCTTCACACTGAACTTGTTTAAAAATTAAAATGCTGTCGGCTGAAGCCAACTGGAATGTAATATTGAAAATCAATAAGCACTAAACGGAGACAACGAAAAAAATCCTCTTCCTTGATAGCTTAAATAAGAGAACTTTGACCCAGTTAAGAAATCAGAAGAAACACAAATCTGCAATGATACAAGTGTCTAATCAATTTTGATTTCCAATAGTTCTCCAGTTGACATAATTTGATGATCAAAGTTGTACATTCCATCAAACTATCCGACTATGAATTGTGTTTCAAAAAACACAGAAAAATCAGCATCATGAGATAACTACACAAAAATACAATAGAGACTGCGTCATTAGTTAAACTGACGTTTCAGATTTACATCAGCCTAGAAAAAAGTTTGTCACATGTATTTATGTCAAAATTAGAAGACCACAACTAAACTTGTTAAAGTATTAGAATGTTACTCAATGAGAAGAAGACATAAACAACGAAGTGACAAATTTCATCAGAACATAAGTACAAAATGCCATTCAGTTATGATTCTCTAGAAACTTGTGACACAAATGATCATAACCACAAAAATCATTATCTCTCTTCAATTTTGTAACTGTCAATTACTTCTAATCCATTTAGTAAAATTCAACTAACTGTCATCTTAATATTTGTTCTATCTTGAACCTAGCCATAAATGTTAACTGACCTTGAAGTTAATATTATATAATCCGATAATACGTTGTCAAAACGACTGTCGATCGTTATCAAAACTCTTTATGCATATTTTTACTATTTGACAAAAGTTATATCTAAAGAATTTAATGAAACTCTACATACATTAGGACAATTTTAATACTTTGATTAAAACAACGATTATCGCTTATTGAAAACATGTAGCAATAGCCTAAAACCTGTTTTCATGTATATTAATAAACAAAACACTAAAATAATGTAACTATTTCCTAAAATCATGATATTTTGTATTAGTCTTCTGATTGAAACTGAAACAATAACTTATATTACACTTCTTTAAATGCTAAAACATTCAAATCACATATGAGGACAGCCAATAAGCTAAGTACACGTATTATAGATGACTGATATTAATCGAATAATTAAAAAATAGGGGAAAACATAAGTTTCTACATGAGAAACACAATAAAAGCAGTAAAACAAGTTTTTAAATGGTTATTTTTTGAGAAAATATTTTATTTGTACTTTCAACAGAAGCAAGCACAGGCGTCTAAATGACTTATATATATAGAATCACTTGCTTTCGTAAGTTACTGATCGAAACTGAATAGTTGTGATGATCAAATAGCCAATACTTATCTCCATTATTCGTACAAAAACTATGATACAAAAATAAAGCTACATAACTTACTGGGTAGTTTAGTTCATGTGGTATCAAATAATTTGGAGTAGACTTCAATATTCTCTAGACTTAGATTCCATTCTCAACATGCCAATCTTTGGTGTTGACGTTAATTTCAGGGTAAACATAAATGGGTTCTTCCATGCATGAATGCTGATAAAAATTTAACCGACTGAGTCTCAATAAACATAAAACCACAATCTAGAGCTTCGCATAAAGTGACTTTAAACACAAACTAGGTTATCTGGAGCGAAAGATAAGCTTAAACACATGCACCTGTACCATTACGACCGATTTCGAGCTATGTTATTCAAATCTGTTAACCTCTCGTTATAACAGTCACTTAGACCCCGAATAGGGGTAGTCTACATTTGTTAACAAAGCTTATTTCAACTGTCAACAACTTCATTGAGTGGTGCCGTTATTTGATTAAATTATTGCAAAAATTTTCCACCATCAATCATTATTTTTACTTCTAGTTTTTTATAGCTAAGATTTTGAAACTGTTATTTTTTTCAGAAAAACATTTTCTCCGTAAAAAACGTACCCAGAATTTAACCAGAAAGAATGTATTCGTAGGTCCATGTTCCATAAGTTCCTTTAAACTGTCTTCAGGAAATTTATCCCAGATTTGACTAGCATCTACCTGCTCCAAATTTGTATCAGTATATAATTGCTCATTTAAAATAGGTCCAATGTGAACAAAGTTGTGTACAGCTGTCATCGAGTTAGGAGTGGCAGTTAAATGAAAATCATGTGTTGGAGTTATCTATCGTAAAATCAAAAACAGAAAGCACTAGTGATTAGTAAATCCTGAGCACAGAACAATGTTAATCATGTGTTTCATTCCAAAAATCTGTAAAATGTGATTAATAATTTGTCACAAACAGCATACCGCCCTTAGCAGATGTGCTTCATAAACATTGATATACTAATCAGATCAATCTTATGAACGTAGCAGACCTAAAAAGCTTTATGCAATAATCAGACTATGATAATTAATATTCGGTGAAGGGCTGCCATTATGATGTATTTCTCATTTCGTCGCTGGTCGCACAACCACAATGAGCATTCTTGATGTTGGATATTGTAAGGATGTGCGTGTGTGTGTCTGTGTAAGTGTATTCATGAAAAGCAACTTCACATAGTTCAGATTTACAAAGTAGTTCAATACGTACGACTGGAACGCCTCAGTGTGAAGTATTATATATCCGAAAGATAATAAGCTAAACTCTCATTCGTTTAATTTTAAAGGCTTTTAAAAAACTATAAAATTCCATCACAAACTATCGTGAAATAAATTAACTAATTTCTTTCCTTTTGTGTTACATTAAATTACATCACAAAAATTATGTGCATTAAAATTATTGTATATTATGGAGATATTTTACGGTATATGCAAGCTTAGTAATATTTAGTGCGCTAATATTAATATTTGGTCATCAATACTTAGCACATCATTTAGATGTGTAAATTCACTTTTACTATCATTCATATATAAGTGTTGTTAGTAAAGTATGTCTAATAAGCTGTTGTATATTATCGCTTTAACAGTTCCCCCAATAAAATTTACCAACTTAATCGTTTTCACATTCACTTTTAAAGTGTAGTTTTATGAACTATGATGATAAACAACTGGCTAGTTGATTACATAACCAGTTATGTATATGTAACAAAATTATGCCTCATATATATGAAACGAACAAATTTCGGACCACATTTTCACGTATATACTATAATCAGTCTATGCAATGACACATTGATTTTTTCACGATACCTTATATTGCCAAGATTCTAGACGTATCATCACGGCAAATAACCATCACACCTATCAATGCGTTCAGAGTTTACGAAAGGCTGATAGCCTAACATTTATCAGAAAAGGCTTGTTCCGAAAAAAAGGACACAATACTAAGCTAATTGATGTATAATATATATATATATATATATATATATATATATATATATATATATATATATATATATATATATAAATGGCTTTAGGAAAATTGTTTATTTCCCTTTTTCTATTAGAAAAACAAAAATTAAAATATATATTATACAAATGAATAACACCAGACAATGAACTTTCAGGGCTTTTCATTCATGCACAAATTATATTCTAAAAAGTATTGAAATGTACAGAAAATTTCCCTCCGATTGATTTATTTCTTTGTATTATTATTATTCTTAGAAGGTTATGGTGTGTGTGCGAATTTTATGCCAAAAGTGTTTTTTATCAATTAAACACTAACGAATCGAAATAATATTCGACTGTAGAATTAATTTATAATTTATCCTGTACACATGTTTAACCATGCAGAAACTTATTCGAAGCAATCAAATATAAAGGAAGATGAGTTGTCAGATGACAGACTCATTCATATCTTTTGACAAAAAAAAATATTTTCGCCACAATTCAGTTAGCAGAGTGTAAATGTGAACAGTGTATATTAATAGGCTCATATGATAGATATTGTTTATTTAAAAAAAAAAAAAACACAACCACATACAACAGTCATTTAGGTATTGAAAAAATAGTTGATAAGAAATAAGCAATCAGACGGTTCAGGAATTTGTTTATTTTCATTATTTATCTCTCTCTATCCAATACAGTCTATGAAAATGTAACATACTGTTCTTTGAAAAAAAAAACAACAAAAAAACAGAAAGAAATATTATGTCATAATTTGGCCTAAATCTATGATTGTTTGTGAACTACAAAGCATGTGCACACGCTGACATATGCGCCCAGGTCAATAATGATGAACAAACGTATTCGCAACCAATCTACTAACTAATCAATAAACAACTAAGTCGATATACATACACTAAAACACTAATTAAAAGTGAATTTACCAATTGCCTGATTCTAGTTTAGGATGTTGTTAATGAACTCAAGTAAATTCAATTCTTATTTCTACTTTATGTTATCACAGTCGTATGTTTCTTACACTTATGATGATTAATTATAAATTTTTAATGACAAGGTCATGATTATTTCAAAGAATCTAAAGTGAAATTGAAGCTAATTTTTTTTTTCTATTGTCATTTATAAAGTGGATATTACAAACAGAATTTTAATTGATTTATTAAAAACTTGCAAAAACTACAGAAAATGGCCTATTATTTACAACTATCGTTTAGCATAGAAATGATAATGAGTAAAAGCAGTAAAACAGTAAAAGTATTTTCGAATTTTCTGTAGACTCTCCTCAAACTTTGGTGGATGACCGTTAATTGTCGACTGCTTTGGAATCAATAAATTATGACAGTCAAATGCAAAGAAGTGAGAACTATTTTTCCAGTTGATCAATAACAAATATGTTTGATGGCTTTTATTTCATTAGGATTCAGTTGAATATAGTCATCGTCATGGTGTATATATTGAATTTACGGTTCGATACAACTCAATACGCTCCTATCAGTTCCTTATAATTAATTAGACAAACACATGTCACAACTCTGTGAGGAAGTTTATCGAGATCTCTTAAGAAGAAATTAATTAGTGGTGATAATAATTTGAAAATGAGCTCATCCAATAACACCAGCCCAGTTTACACAAGTATTTACTTTATGTGAAATAAAAGACAAATAATTTGAGTGAATATCTGGTGCAATATGGAAAACTAAATCAAAATTTATCATTTCTTTTTTGTGTATTAAATATAGTGTGATGTATCAGGTGATCTGATGCTTTGTCTTTCCTACTATACAATAATGTAGATAGAAGAAAAAGAAATTCGAATTCGATTGACAATTGTGTATGCTCATTTATCATTCGTATGCATGTTTGAAAATATTTTCTGATGCTGAACTGATTCAGTCTCAGCAATTATTATTTTACAATCATAAAAAATGTAGTCAAAACGCCTAAGTTAACTTTCACCTTCGACAAATTTATCATCGTGATGAACATTATTATTACTATTAATAATGGAAACCATTTTAAATGAAGGCCAGTAGTTGTTGTTGTAATAAATCGACCAGGTAGTTTACAAGAAGGCTGCACAGATTGGTAGTTGGGATAGTTATTTGTATACATATAAACTATGTGCTATTTTGTGAATAGGCATATATATATCTATATAAATATATAACAAATTTTAGCTTCCAAACTAACCTAATATTCAATAGATATAGTGGTAGTCGCAACAGGATAGACAAACTGTACAATATAACAGAAATATTTAGGGATAGGTGTACACACAAACGGAGTCAGAATACTGAGATACACTGACATAAATTACAATAGCACACAGCTGTAATTTCTTTCTTTTTTCATATAGATCTAAACGTAGTTGTATGTTTTTACCCTAGTTTTTCTGATCATTTCACTAAGTTCGTTTTGTAGGCAATGTTTATATGTAGAGGAGATACACATATGTAAGTGAACACGTGAATACACTCTATACAAGCATATTTTGTAGGTCAGATTGTATATGGGAAAATAGTACTTTTTTATGTCAGTTGGATAAGCCAATCAAAACAAAAAGACAAAAAATAGGAACACTGAAGAATCTCATTGAAATGAAATTTATGTTAGTAAATATAGATCATATTTAATGTATGACAGGGATTTAAAAGTGAATTTATTGATTGCTGTACACAGTGGTTGAATCATAAAATCATGTTTGTGTACTATACTAGTGACTGCAATAAGTTTTTAATGAATCAAGTAACCTAGTTCGATGGAGTATCAGGTCCTAGTTAAATGATTTATAGATGACTTACTCTGGACGAGGAATGAATTTTTTGAATTCAATCCTCTATGTTTTTGTTACTATGCGTTAATGATAATTTCCCACAATAACTACTCAGTGCTCAATAATTTTCAATGTTTCTCTAGCTGACACCAGATAAAATAAACTCGAATTTCAAGAAATGCAAAATGTTTATTTCCATGTTAGGGTTTGGTGTACGTATGCACCTGCATCAGTGTTTCTGTCAATTGTATGACATCAATTCCCTCCATTTTCTAAACAGTGTGGCACGTCGCCTTGAAATTCATTTGAAAACATAATGTTTAGGAATTAGTTTGGTTACTCGACAACTTTTCCTCGTCCATACTAATCAAACGATTATTACTAATTAGCAGTAGGGAGATTATTCAGTTTCACTAAAATCATGAACTAAGCCATGTCTGATGTGAGGCACTTTCTCACTAAAAATAATGAAAGATGGTTGAATGAAGTTAGAATTGTAAACTATTGACTCCCGATTCATTTGTCTAGAGAACAGGCGTCCCATCATAGGAAAAAATTATCATCTAGTATTTCCAGATTTTTAATAGTTGTCTAATTCAGATGAGAGGTTATTTCAATGAAATTATTACCAAGTTGTAGACTATTTCCATAAGATTATAATTTAGATACTTAACACTAAAAATCAATTTTTACCTTAGTACTTAATATGGTTTATGAAGTGAGTGTTTATTATTTTTATGGTACAAAAAACAATTGGAGTCAAAGGACACTGCTTAGTGCTTATTAAATGTCATGTAAGTGATTGACTTCTGACACTCCAGAACGCATGAACATTAGATATCTTGATAATTACTTTAATCCTAAGCATCTTAGAACTAAACCATAATATGTTGTTTCAACATAGTATTTGAATATCTGTTCAATATTATGATGGAAATATAATGAAGTCATTGAAGTGTATACTGTTATAGAGTATGTTCAGAGATCGTTTTTAATTCAATGAGACTTGTAATACCAATCAGTGAAGCCAGGTCCACATGTTCAAAATTTTGACACACAGGATTTTGATATATGCTTCTTCATACTTACGGATCCTCATAAAGTTATGTAAATTAAATCCAGTGTAACTGATTTCAAAGGACTGATAAAGCTGTTTTTTTTATGACAAATTAATCTTGGTGAAACATTTATCAATAAGATCAATACTTAAACGCTATTAGTATTAACTCACTGTGGACTGTGATTTCGACGTTGAACTTATCATATAGGCACTTAACTCAACCAATCGCATTTTAGGTGCTGTGACTGATCGTCCCATCCATTTAGGTATGTTGATATTTGTTAAATCTTCCGGTGTTGTGCTGGTAGCCATAGTGGCAACATTTACATTTGCCAGTGGTAAAGTTCTTTCTGTATTCTAGAAGTTGGTTTAGTGAGATACAAAACAGATATTTAAAGAACCTACCTCCAGAATCATTTTTCTAGAATATTTCGGGGAATCTGAAACAGAATCATTCCTATGTATTAATGGATTCATTGAAGAATAAGAAATTTCCCGTAAAATATTCATTGTTCCATCATCACTTAGTTGTTTATTGGTAGTTTTTGATGCATTTGTATTTAGGTCACTATAATTATTATTGTTATTCCGGTGAGCATGGTTAAGGTTCAATTGTTCAACTAAGGCTTGGTTTTGCTTAGATACAACTGTCGGAGAAAATATATTTATATTTGGTTTAGCTGACAGCGCAGATGAATGATGCGATGTTGATAGCAATGAATTTGTTGGCCATGAAACAGATGTTATTGCTGTACATTGTTGTTCATAGGCTGCAACTGCAGCAACATGTGCGGCTGCCATTGCAACGGCTGCTGATGCTGGTGTTGCGATTGAAGTCATTGAAGAGCCTAGCGAATTCGACACTGAAAGAGTCGATGGAAAACTCGGTACTGAGGATAATGAAGAGATTGAGGAACAATTTGTAGAGGATATGGAAGAATCAGTATTATTACTTGTAGTAGTACTACGCATTTTTTGAGGAATCCCACTATTATTATTATTATTATTATTATTATTATTATTATTATTATTATTATAGTGATTAGATGGACAGTATATTAACTGACCAACTGATGTTTTAACAAGAACTAATCCATCAGGTTGTAAATTCGATAATAAAATAGAGGAATTATTTGTTGGTAATGTGGATTGTGTATGATTATCATTATTCATTACAGATGAAGATGACGGGGAAGAGCACTGGTTTACATAACCATTCGAAGTGACTGTCATTAGATTATCTAACACTAATGGGAAATTTAGTTGTTTTTGATCGATTTCTTGTTGTTGTTGTTGTTGTTCGTTTTCATCAGATTCTAGATGTTTGTTATGCAAATCTAACGTATCCAAATTTCGATTCGACAAATTTGTTTGTTGTTGAGATCGTAAATTTAAAAAAGCCTCATATGGATAAGATAATGGTGAATTGTTATTATTCACCATGCTCCCCGGTTGTCGCATATCAAATGAATACGGTGATAACGATGAATTAATCGGAAGAAGATGAGCAAGCGTAGATTGACTAGACAGATTCAAATTGATATGATTATCATGGGTTGTTTTCGGAACTTGTGTCACTGTGGAATATGAACAGTTTTCTTAGAAGAATAAGCAAAAATATTTTATATGACTTTGACAAAAACCGAAAAACAATATTAAAATTTATTCAATAAAATGTGTGCTGTTCTAGAAGTAGATTTGACAGTGGACTGATATCGATTGACGAATGATAATTGAACAACGATACAATAAGCAAAGGATTCACTTAGTTGTGATAATCGATAACAGTCACTTTGTATTAAAAATGTACTCAAGTCAAAAAATATGAACAATGAATCATTGAAAGATCTATTACTTAATGGAAACTCAAGTGTATGTTAAGTGCCTTGCTACCTTCACTTACATCAAGAATTAAAATTATCAATGTAACTTTCAACTCGAATTTGTTATTCTTTTCAAAAAGAAAAAAGTTATCTAAACTATTTCTATCTTTAAAAATTCAAACAAATGAAAAAAGTTAACAATGATTATTCAATGAACTATGAGCAATTTATTTATTTATTGCACAAAGACTGGTAAACAATATCGCTAATTAACGGGACAGTCAGTTATTGATCAAAATCGCATAAATCAGATTGCATGTACTATACAAATTTCTTAATCTTATATATTGATGGTAACCAGAAGTTCTGATCCCATATTGCACGATGATTGCCGCATTTATCTTGATTTGGTGACGTAATTTGTTCATTTAGATCGTTACACCGAAATCCTACACCATGAAGCTTAATTAATTGCCTATAATTGACCAATTATCGGATTTTCAAATAATTACAACATGTGTTTTATATTAATAAGGAATTTCAATACACTTGTATCATTTATTCAATAAAAGGTTACTGGTATACGCAGTACAACTTATTTTATGCAGTCTATGTAATTCGACTTTATCTCATCGCTGCAAAATCACAATTAAATAAAAGTATCATGTGAATGAGAGAAAATTTGCCAACTTACCTTGAGTTTTACCTTTAGTCAAACTTTTATTAGTAATTGTAACATTATTTTGAACATTACTATTAACAACTGTTGAAGAAGGGTATTTATGTAGATTTTCAAAATATAAACCATTGGTCTTATTCTGTAATTCTCTATTATTAGAATGTAAATGATCATTAATACGAGGACTTCTGTCAGTGACATTGTCATTTTGACCATTTGCCAAATTCATAGAGTGTGAATTTGACAATTTAATTTCATTAATTTTCTCATCTTCTGTTGATGAATGAATCCCAGCTGATGACACTGGTAACCCACTGGATGTAGAAACAGATGGTAAGGTTTTGGAACACAGCACTCCGGCAGATACAATTTGTGCTGAACTAAGCATGGATAGATGCATTATAGCTCGTTGTTTTGTATCGGGATCCTTAATCTGAGCTTGAAGTTCTTTAGATTTTCGACGAGCTAACACTTGAATGTGACTTGAAACTTGTTTTCTGCTTCGAATTTTGCCAGTGTGTTGATATATATATCTAGCAATTAATTCATTTCGCCCTGTTACATTTAAGAACAAGAATACAAAACTGTGTATTTTAACAAGAATGAATTACGTTAACTTATGGATATAAACAATTTACTTCATGTTAACAAATCAACAGTCTAAACTTCACAGAACATTAGCTCACAGCTGATTAACATTAGGTTGACTGCAAAAATCAATTTAACGGAGATTAGTAAACATATAGTTATGTGACAAACTTACTAACGATTTTGAGCCATATCATCCAAAATGTCTAACCATCGGTTACTATCATCTTACCTACCAAAACCAGGTAGTCTGCACCAATTAACATGGCTCAAACAGGTTGTTAGTGAAACCAAACCTAAGGATAGTGTGAATCAAAAAGGAGAAACTCAACCAATGAAATAATTTTTGTTTGATCTACTAATTTAACTGAATTATCAATCGTTGATATGATTAAAATCAACTAGTTTTTATCATTCCTTTTTTTTTCTATTATTTATTGATTTAATAATTTCTTATTTACATAAGCTGTATGCCATCAGTATTGTTTCAGATGATTCGATCAGAATTTCTTTTTTGCAAAACATTTTTCCCCAGTATTAAGATAATCAAGAGTGATTCTTGAGAATGTCAGCAGATTTACAAAGAATGTCCTGAGTGTTATACAGGAGGTAGTATTAATAATTCTGTTGAGGCTAATATAGCGAAGTTGGTAAACGTATACTCGATTGCCAAACTGGTTTTTTTGCTTAAACTTATTTATCAGCGGTTTTACAGTTTAAAAAATATCGTTGCATGTCACGTGATGTGAAAATTTGATAAAAAATGATAAAAAATTTTCAAATCACCAGTCAGGAAGTTTGATCAGTTTTGACTTCAACATTCAGGAAATATATTGAAGTGTTCATAATTCTAGTAACTGCGTCCGAATAAAAACATAGAGAACAACTATTACTCAAGAATTGCAAACAAATTTATTGATAGAAACTATAAAATATTAACCGTACGTAGATGGTAGTTGTAATAAAGATCTTAGTTGAATATACATTGGGTAGTTAATTTTTTCCTTAAAATCTATTGTTATTATTATTATTATTATTATCGTTAATAAAAAAATCAAACTATCATCTTGTACAAAACAACAAATCATTTTATATCAATGTTAATAAGTCCAGTTACAAAGTAAAACCGAATTATTTATAGCCAGTGCTTTATTTACTGTATCCTACAGATTAACCTTTATTTACAAACATTTGAGGAATTTTTCAACTAAATACATGAACTGTCCAATTTGCATATTTAGCATAGAGATATGAGATATTACACAAGTACTGATTTAATGAATTCATTCCGAACATGGTGAAGCGATTAGTTATATTCAGTTTAAGGTATATTCATTTTATTTTTCTTGTATAGGTTAATTTGTAAATAATATAAAAATAGAATTCTGTGCTAAAATATTTTATTAGGTAACTAATATTACTCATCTAATGAGAATAAATAAAAGGTAGAATAAGTAGACCAACTTTAAGTTGTCAAATTAGTTCTAACTTATCATCAAGTAATGTGTCAATACGACCCCTTTGTATTGAAATTTTTTGCTTTAAATTGTTAAAAAGTATACATCTACTAAAAGTATGAAACTTGAGAGTTTTGATGAAATGTAAACTTCAACTAATATCATCTTGGAAGATCCTTTAGTCGACTATGATATAAAGCATATGGAAACTTGGTGTAGATCTTCAGAACCATAATCAGAATAAGTCATTTAAAAAAAAAAACTTATGATAACTATTAATATCGTCATCCAGTTAAGTTGATATTCTTTGTGTGATTCACTGATTTCCCTGATATACTGAATTATTCTAGTTTACTGAAGTAAATCGATTGGCACTTTGACAGACAATAATCAGAAAATCTCCAATAGGAAGAAAAAAAAGGTTGATATTTTTTTTTATAGTTACATTCACATTCATGTTAAATGTTCATGAAAGGGTTACAAAATGCCGATAACAGCAAATCAATATGTATATGTATATACGCTGATTTATACTTTTAACTTGTTATCCAGATGTTTGTAATAGCTACCACACATACAGTAACATTTATATTTTTCTATCGCTAAGTAATAGAAATTAACTATTTCGCATCCCACACAAATAAGAACAATTTTTATTGTTACTATCATGGACAATGAATTTAACATTATAGGAAAAATAATAAGAAATTTGTTGACAAATACAAAAAGATCAAATCTCTATTTTCAGTACCTAAAAGAGAATTTTTCACTTGACTTATTGGCTTCAAAGGTGACAAAACTGTCGACATCTTGAAGAGCAGGATCGTCATAGTTAGTTAAAATAACATACTCGGCATTAACTCTAAAGTTAGTAATCTGAAGTCTACCCATATTCACTGAGAACCTTAAAGATAAATTCTCGTATTTTACCATTTTTACATGCATTTATCAATTCACTAGCTTCTGTGTAGTAAGGTATAATAGTAGTTCAAATTGTGTTCCATACAATAGGGTTCAGAAACATTATTCGTAATGATTGAAAAAGGATATCAGTATAAAACGTCATGTTAACAAGTGTCAGCCTATCAGCAAAATTAATCATCTTCCAAATTTCTCGACAAGACAAATGGTAACCTACATATGATAGTCATATTGTCAAAGCTGTCATCATACACTTGGAGAAGCTGGAATTATGCATTCGAAAGAAACTTATTGGACATCTACGCAGACCATGGTCTTTCACCCTTAACCAACTTCTTTCTATTTTTGTGTACTTATAGACCATATTTCATTTTGATTTCAATATTTCATCTTATTCAGTTACTAAACTCACTTTAACAATGACGAATCTTCATCTAACATCTCTGGGATTCGGAGTGAGTGTTCAAACTCTTAACAATTATATTATTAGTATCATGACAGGAACAACACCTTTTGTACACTTTCGTTGAATTTTCTTCTCTATTTCTATGTTTAGTAGATTATTATTTGCGATAGGGAGTGAAGTAGTCGCACGTGTAGACCACTTCACGTATTTGGGGAGTCTTATCAGTGCTGATGGCCTGGTGTGTGACGAAATCTCAGCACGGATACAGAAAGCTCGACTGGCTTTTGCCAACCTGCGTCACTTATGGCGCAGGCGAGATATCCGCTAGTTAACCAAAGGACGAGTATAGTGCGCAGCAGTTTGCTCTGTCCTACTATACCGATGCGAAACATGGCCGTTAAGAGTAGAGGACATTCGTAGGTTACTGGTCTTCGATCATAGATGTATCCGAAGCATTGCTCGTGTATCGTGGGATAACCGAGTAGGCACTGCTATCGTTAGGAAATGAGTTCTACATAAGGATGTCAGGATCAATAGATGAAGTGGTGAAACTTCATCAGTTGAGGTGCTTGGGACATGTGTTACGTATACCCGACCACCGACTACCGCGAAAAGTTATGTTGTGTGATGTAGGAGTAGTTTCGAAGAAAGCTAGAGGCGGCCAATGCAAAACATGGCACAAATCAATGAAGTCACTGACTAGTGGACTGAGTCATGTTGGTAGATGTAGGCTACCTGGTTGGGGTCTGCGAGACGATAGTCACCAATGGTTAGAGACCTTGAATGACATGGCTCATAATCTTTTGCAATGGTGCTGGTGCATCCACTCTTTTATCTTACTAAATTATACTTCTCGAATCATATCTTCGCTCCCTAATCATCTCCATTACTGCTAATACTTCTATTATTGCTATATCACTCTTGGATTTGAACTGTGCTGATGGGGCATGTGAACCTGCACTGATATACTTATGTACGAAGTTCTGCGTTGTATTTGTCTGTCTTTCTTATTATTCACAAATAAATTATCGAGCATTATTGAGAAAAAAGTAGATGCATATATGCGATTACATAGCTTTGAAAATGAATTTGTCTTAAATTACTCTTAATGCCACAACTTTACCCGTTAAATAATGAATCACTATCAACCCCTTTGTAATGATGAAACTCATGAAATGGTGAAATAATAAATATGAAATTTTTAAATAATTCCCCTGAAAGTATTGATTTCAGATTATCATTAAATGAGAAAATTTTGTCACTAAAGTTCATCTAAAGAATTCGTAAGTTGTAGAAGATGCACACACTAACTTACCATACATTTTTCCTTCTTCTGATAATATAATCTTTCTACGTCCACATGGTGGATATATTGCTAAAGCTTCTTGGAAACATTGTTCTATATCCATTGACCAAACACCTTCTACATCTGTGGAACTTGAATTCTCATGAGCGTCTATATCGGAACCGGAATTACTGCCACAATCTTCATCAAAATGAAAATCTGTAGAATTTGTTGATAATCGTTTTGGTGTTGTAGGTGCTGGACGTTTACCTGACCTAATTTGATTATTAGAATTGGTATTCATTGAACCACAATAAAATGATCCATTCGAATTGGTAGTTATGATTGAGGGAAGATTAAGGACAGGATCAAATGGTGGAGGAGGACTTCGTTGTAACTGTGAATTCAGATGATGATCATGAGAATGAGAATGTTGTTGTAGAACATGATTCGATGCATTCAACAAATATTCACGTGTTATTCCGGAATTCTCCAAATGTAACGAAAGTGGTGATTGAACAGAAGGATTATCAGGTAATGATTTATTCATGTACATTTTGACAGATTTTAATTCTGAATCCACCTCATGTTTCGGAAGAGCTTTACTTAAATTTAGTAAAGAATTTCCACCATTTGAATGATTTTCATCATTTTTGTTATTGTTGTTGTGGTGATGATGATGATTATTATTATTAGAGATTTTCATGGGAACTGAATCACCATCACTACTAGAACCGTTACCATCTCCAGAGGCTGTAGACATGGCAGTTGCAGATGTCAGATCGGGAATTAGAAAACCAGCTTTACCTTTACAAACTTCCATACTTCAAATAATATTTATGTATGTTTATGATAAATGTTTATAAGACTGTTTGTATATATGTGAAAATATTTCCACCAGGTTGTCCTTTGATGAATATCTCACGTATATATTTGTGAATAATTACGTGAAATTAGTTTTTTTCCATTCAATAATTAGAATAGAAATCTGTCTTTTTGTCTGTTTATTCCTTCGTTCAATAGATGAATGGTATCATCATATATTGACTAGTGTAAAAATCACTGAAGATATGAAGAGAATATTTATGTGAATTAATAAGCGGATGCATAAGAATTAGAGAGAGAAGAAATTATACTCTGTAAAATTAATCAATTTCTAAAGTGATATATATATTTATATGTCTGACCTATAATGAACAATATTACAATGTCATCATAGTTATTGTCAGTACCACTGGATATGATGATAGGGTGAGGCATATAATGCTATTTATGTTGAAACAGAAAAATAACGTTTTGAACTTATCGCATACTTTCTTTCTCAAACCACTAATATAATATATATACATGTCTATTTAGATGGCAACATTTTCGAAATTCATGACTAACCAAGCCTCAGATTATAAAAACAGCTGAAATTTATAAAACCATTAGGATCCCAGTGCGTAATAATATTATAGAGATCCATTATGTCCCTCTATATGCGTGTTATGCTGTTTTATGTAAGTGACAGGGGTGGAGGAAGTGAATATGAGGCGGAAGATGAGTGGACATAATGGAAATGGACAAAGAAATCAGGAGGGGGTGAGGCAGATACTCCGGAATGTGCATAAATGTGTTTTGGAGAAAAGTGACGGCAAAAAGCCATTGTCAAAGTAATTTATTTTTAAATGTAATAACCATTTACTGCTATTCATCGTTAACATGTCAAATATGAGTATAGACATTTTTACACTTAAAAAAAATCAAAATATCAACTTCACTTCTCTCCTGTTTCATTCATGTAGAACCCAGTTACAAAAATTTTATAATTACTAGAACATGGTATGCAAATATATCCTATCTTATGATGGAGATGATAATTTCATGTACCCGAGCGACATGAGAATAATAGGCTTGTCTGTGTTGTAACATGGCCAAGAGTATAGGCATGTCGTCTCTTGTCTTTGTTCCGCCCATGTGAAATTATTTTAATAGTTAAGAGACAACATTAAGTCACCATAACAATATTTATGCAGATTATAAATTAAAAATTTAGCAAAATAATTTGCTTTTGAATGAAGCAACTCATTAGTTTCGTTTCCAAATAAGCGACAGATAGTAAAAGTGGTCAGTAATGATTAATGAAGTATTCAGATGTTCAGTAGGACATTGGTTGTACGAAGCCTCAAACTATTTTGATTTCCAGTATTCTGTTTTTATCTCTCCGTAACTCAATATCTGTGTGACGCTATAACAAAGTAACACAAACCGAAGTCAACACAACAACAATAGTTAAACTCGGAAATTAACAGTAAAAGCTATCGTTGATGGAGTAATTTATGAGATTAAACGGTCATGAAAAAACTTGGATGATAATACTAGATTTTATCAATTTGTTTTGTCACAAGATTAACTGAAACATTTCATATATAATGATTTGTATATTCTTGTGTATTACCAATGGCGGAAAATATAACTTCAATCGGTCACCAAAATGAAATCGTATAGATCTTAGTTCTGATCTCATTCCAGAGATGAAGCCTATCGGTTTTATCCTACCATCTGAAATCCAACAAGTATTACTGTTGCATTGGGATACTCAACCCGTTAGCTACATTGTAAGCCGAACGAATAGGATTCGATAAGAACCAAGGACTAAACAATAATACACTGATTAAAATTTAACAACCGAATAGCTTGAATATATCCATCAATCTAATTGTAACTTATTTACCTGCAGACATCAGTTCATATCTCTGAAGTAGTATGAGATCCCTAATGGTTACTGAAATATCTTCCAAAGAAATACAGACTATACACGAAAGTCGTCTTGGTTAGGGCTTGTCACTGATTGTTTCTAACCATCTAGCATCAGGAGAAACAACAAGGTGATACATAGTTTTTTCTCAGAATAAAAGCCAACTGACTAATAAATGTCACAGCTGTTAAACATTTCCGTGTCTTATTAATAAGCTGCTTAGTATATATTCATGAAAAAAGAGTAGTAAATACAGTCTGAATGAATCTATTACGAAGCTCAGTGTAGTAGTGCATGAAAAACAAGTCAACGTATATAGTGTGCATAGTACTTGTATTCTGATAGTGTTTTAGCCATACTTTATCATCGAACACAACCATATTGCTGAAAAAATGATCAAAAACACACAGTTGACATGATGCATCCTTTTACAGTTAATTCACTGGTTATCTATCATATCACTAGATGATAATTATTTAGTTCATGTTTCACATCTGTACAAATTGTTATAGTAATAATAATTATTATTATTATCATAGATTAAGTCAAACTAAACATTCACTGACACATATCATCTTAAAGATATAAACAAAATCATTTGACATTTATCAGACTTCTGATACAATAACAGTAGAGAATCTACTTAACACATACTGAAGGAAGAGATAAGTTTTTATGTTCAGGGTAACATGTATGCAATTTTTATGTTGTAATCTGACATCTGCCATTTGAATGTACTCATTATATACAAAACAAATTAATTTTGTAGAATTTCTTTTTTCCGTAAGACATGAGTGTCAAGTGAATTACCATTAAGAAAAAGGTGAACTGCTGTAATCTGTTTCATCTTGAGATTAAAGTAAGCTTTAGTCAACCACTTACCATGAGTTAGTTACGTATCAAATGAAATGGTTGGCCATAAAACTCAAGAATCGATTTTTATTTGTCTTCATTTAGTTCGGATGAAAATTATTGACCAAGTAATTCTGTTTGTTAACTAGAAGCGAATGCATTTAATATTGATTCTACAATTCTTTAGTTAAATATCTGAACGACATGCATGCCGATTTGTGTTTTGAAATCCGTGGAATCATGAAACGTGTACGTCACAGTAATTGATTTTTTTTTCTATTATTATTTAAGTGTGCTAAGTGTGATAAACACATACCTTAAATCATAAATCACTAATTGAACTGAAGACCAGGTCAAAATAATGGTTACAATAACTATTAACTGCTATAGTTAGTCCAGTTTTAGATGAGCCTGATAATAGTTTTTCATCAATTCTGAACGTACTATGCTCTAATTTTGACCAAAGTAGGCATTCCTTGACAATTAACACATTATGATAACAGAATTTTTTCATAACAATTTTTATCGGTACGTATTTTAAAATAAAAAAGTGTCAATGAATTTTGATACACTAGATTGAAGATAATTTATTTTCGAGTCATAGACTTAAGCAAACTGAAGAACTATTGAAAACTGGCTTACATTGGACGCAGGTTTCGCCTGAGTATGGAACTCATCAAGCTTGCATATCCATGAATTCACAAGGGATGTGGAATTTAGAATTATAAGATCTTAATAATCTATGTGGTGTAATACATCCATTGAGTTATTATCTAATTTAGGAGATATTTCTAATCTTTAGCTGACTTATAACTCTTAACCAACTCTCATTCTTCACCCAAGTACATGATAGACTCATATTTGCAAGTAAATTATTTTGATATAACTTGCTCAATTCGATATCTGAACGCTCAGAATTCTATCATGCATTAGGCAATCTATACCCCTTGCTACGTATCTATAAATTAGAACAGATCTGGTTTTTATTATTGCTAAATCCATGTTAATTTGTAGTGAATATAATCTTCAGTTTTGTCAAGCTTTTATGCACCCTAAAGGGTACAGTTATTATTAAATTCATTTAAATAAGCTCTCAACAGTATTTGAACTCGTACATATGAGATTTATGTATATAAACGTTTGATGCAACAGCTTAGGATGATTTATTTTCGAATCAATGAATTAGAGATTCCCAAGTCAAATATTCACATTAGAAGTTGCCACTTGATGAACATAAGGTGAATAATTGTTCGGCTTTGTCTTGAACTATGTCACCTGTTCTCTGTTCATGAGTGTGATTATGATCAACGACTAAACTTTTTTCGCAACAATCAAATCATTCTTCATAAAATGAAAGGATAGGTGCTGATACACATTACTAACTGTAGCGCGTCTCATCTGTTCATAAATTTTAAACAGTTCTTCATGCTATGAATGCAAGACCAATGAGATTATTTGTATGTATATTTGTTCTGAACATGGACCTCATAATTTCCATTGACCTATGTATTGATTTAAGTTAACATAACAACACACTAGTCATTCTAATATGAACAATTTTAATTTTATTTCACCAACAATTCTAAATTCGAAAAACTATAATTTTAAATGATGTACTTTACTTAGCCATCCACTTTGGAATGTTAATTTGGTTGAATAACGGTAGCATGTGATAAGAACTAACTGAAACAAATAATCCAACTTCATAGATCTATGCTTAGATGATTATATTAAAAGAATTATTTTTACACTGAGTTAAAAAATCGTCTGAGAATCTCGTTCAAAGAAACACATTAGTTGATTGCTTATTATTCGATCAAATATGAAAGTCTAAATGAAATAGATAATGTTTCCAGATGCCTGATTTTTAAAAACAAAAATTAACGCTGTAACAAAGTTTTCAATGTTTAATATCAGCATAACATCTTGCGCTTTTGGTCATTTACCGTTGTTCATTCAGTGAATGAACGATGTATAGTAAAATGTGATGTTCATTAAAAGTTAATTTGACTACAGAGCAGGAAATATATCAGGCCAAAAACATAAATTTTTATAAACATTAGAACTTGAAATATTCAATGAAAATTACACATTAGTGCTTAGTGCTCACTACTTAATAAAATCAACGGAAAAATGATCAAATGGTACGCTTAGTGAACGAAATAGACATGGTAGATAAAGTAAGGCTAAAAGAAATCAAATAGAAGATTTCAGTCATAATCGTTATTCAG